TTTATTTTTATTTTTTTATTTGACTAGAGAGAGAGAAAGAAAGTAAGAAAGCAAGCCATCAGGTCTGGGACTTAAACTGTGGTCAGTCATGTGGGAGTCTAGCACCTTAGCCACCACACTAATTGCTGGTCCTTTTCATTTCATTTTTTCATGAATTTTTTGATGTACCCTCGTAGAAGGGCTTTGTGCCCTGTCCAGTGCCTGGGGCTGTGAGGTGGCACTGGGTCCTCTTTTAGTGTGACCTAAACTCCTGAACATGTTTAAGGGGCAACTCGTCCTGACCCCTTCACTCACCCTAGCCTAGAGCCCTGGCACCCATACCTCCGAAGTGGCCTGGGCATCAGTAGCCAGTAACACATCCAGGACCAGCCAGTTCTACGCCCGAGGAGCTGCCAGTGATGGGGATGGTCCTGGCAACCATGGCAGGTGACAGCTGCAGGTGGTACTGATCCCCACATCAAGTCCTGTTGAAAAGAAGCAAAACCACCATCTTCCCCACTTGTGGCCTACAGGAAGTTCTTCAGGGTCAGCCCCAGCAGGCTCCAGACTGAGGTATGGATGAGACCTCTCTGCCCTCCTCCGGCAGCCAGGCCTAGATGCCAGCTCCCCAGCATAGGGTTAGCTAAGGCTGGGGGTGGCTTGGTCACAAGTGGCTGCTAAGGCTGTCAAGCCTGGCACAGGGGCTCATTGCAGCAGTGGGACCTTCTGAAGGTCACCTCGGGACAGCCCTCCCCATCAGCGACCAGGGCTGCAGAGAAGGGAGGGGCTAACCAAGGGGAGACCCCTTTACCAGCCACTATTGCTCCCACTGTGCCTTAGAAATTCTACCTGGAAGCCAGCCAGATGGGCAGCAGGGCACACCCAGACCTGGCCTCACACCTGGGACAAAATCCTGGCTCATGGACTCTTCACCTACCAGATGGGGTCCCACTGCTTCATACCCAACCAGTCGCATATACAAAAATAGAGAGTATAATTTAACAAATTTCACATTGCATTTCAATTAGTATCAACTCGTGGTGATGGCGAACCCATCACCATACCCACATCTTCTCCCTTATCCTCTGAATTTATTTATTTATTTTTTTTTTAGTTTACTATAGGGCAAATGCACTCACCAGAAGAGTGAAAAAAAGTGAGAAATCACCCCCAGGAGGGCATGGCTATGCCAGAATCCCTTCTCTTCCATTCTTTTCTTGGAATTTCGGGCACACACACACCCAGTACGTTTTGGGGTTTTTTTTAGAATTACTTTATTTAACTTTATTTATTTTAATTTGACCAGAGAGGGAGAGAGAGAGAGGAAAAGAAAGCAAGCCACCAGGTCCGGCCACGTGGGAGTCCAGCGCCCTTAACCACCATGCCACCTGCCAGCCCCATGCCCAGTGAGTTTTTCAAGCTGCTGGATCTGGGACTCAAACAGCACACAGTCAGCCATGTGGAATCCAGCTACCTTAACCTCCACCACTCCATCTGTGGGCCCCAACTCTGGATTAATTTAAAACACAGTTGAGGGGCAGTCCTATGGCCCAATGGTTAGGAGACCCGAATTCTACATGGCCAACTTCAGTTCAATTCCTGACTCTGGCAGCTTGAAAAATATGCCAGGTGTGTACATGCATGCCAAAGTCCTGACCAAATGGAGAGACAGAGAAGGGCCTGCAGCAGGACCATGCCCATGGAAAGATGCTTTCTTCCTTTTCCTCTCTGTCACTCTGTCTCTCTCTAGTGAGCACACATGCTCTCTGGAAATAAAGATCTTAAAAATAGGGGCCAGCAGACCGGTGCTTGCTCTGCAGGAGCCCTCCAGTTCCATCTCTAGGCCCCTGGCCGGCAAGGGAAACTGAGGCAGGGGCACCACTGTTCTCAGTCTACTTCCAGGCTCCCAAGACCAGGACCCCACCCCCTTTAAAGAATTAAGGACTTTTGCCTTCTCTTGAGTTGTGGACAGGTCCATGTATCCACTATTCAAACAGAATCCTAACCTGTTTCCTGGCTTTACGTCCTAATCAAAGTTCTCTTAAAGTTTCTTGATTTTGATTCATTAAAGTTAAAACTTCCTTATCTCCCTTGAAAGTATTAAAAGCCAACCAGATCATACAGAAAATAGAATCTCTGACGTAGAAAAGAAAATTGCTGGCCTAGAAAAATCAACCATGAAGACTGAGAAATCTGCCCTCCAAAATGAGAATAATATATGAGAAATACCAGATACCATTAAACATCCAAACATCCGGATAATTGGTATCCCAGAAGGCGAAGAGACTCATAAGGGCATTGATAAATCTATTCCATGAAATCCTGCAAGAAAACTTTCCAAACCTAGAGAGGCACTCAAAGATCCCGTCCCAAGAAATACAAAGGACCCCAAATAGAATCAACCTTAGAAGATCTTCTCCAAGACACTTTATAGCCAGACTGACCAAAACCACAAAGATTGGCAAGAGAGAAAGGGCAAGTTACCTACAAGGGATATCCCATCAGGCTAACAGTGGACCTCTCATCGGAAACAATGCAAGCGAGGAAAGAATGGGAAAATATATTCAAAGTGTTAAGGTAAAAGCAATTTCAACCAAGAATACTGTACCCGGCAAAATTATCCTTCATATGGGAAGAAAAGACAAGAACATTCTCAAATAAACAAAACCTGAAAGAATCTACCAGCACCAGACCAGATCTCCAAGAAGTTCTCAAGGGAGTGCTATATCAGGAAAATTAAATTCAGACACACAGAAATAATTCAAAAACTAAGAAAATGGCCAACTTAATCATAGGGAGAAGTCTGGAGTTGAATATTATATCCCAGAATTCAATCGGGAAGACTGAACCACAACAGAAGATGGATTAAGTACATGAAATTGAACTGGTGAAATAGCATTTTATGACTTTTGACTAAAATATTGCTGATTTTCTTCTAGGTTTTGTTGTCCAGTTTTAAAGATTTTTATCTTTTCTTGACGTTGACAGGTTCATGTACCTACTATTTGAAGAGAATCCTAACCTGTTTCCTAGCTTTATGTTTTAAACAAAGTTCCTTAGTATTTATTTGATTTATTACAGTTAAAACTGCCTTTCTTGAAATTAAAAAAAAAAAAAAAAAACTAGGGGCTGGCAAGTGGTGTAGTGGTTAAGGCACTGGACTCCCACATGGCCCACCATGGTTTGAGTCCCAGACCTGGCAGCTTGCTTTCTCCCTCTCTCTCCCTCTTTCTCTCTCACTGGTCAAATTGAAGAAGAATGATAAATAAAATTAAATAAGTCGTTTAAAAAATGTTTTAATAAATAAAAATGAAGCTAAGACATCATGTAATTTCATCTATAAGTACTTCAGAATGATTATCTCAAAGATAAAAGCTTAAGGGACCAGCAGTTAGCGTAATGGCTATGTCGCTGGACTCCCATGTAGCTGACCACGGTTAAGAGTCCTGGACCCAGTGGCTTAAACTCATGCCAGGCGCGTGTGTGTGCGTGCCCAAGATCCCGAGAGGAGAATGGAGGAGAAGGGATAGCAGCGTGGCCATCCCCCCTGGGGGGTGATTTCTCACTTTCTGTCTCTCTGTCTCTGTCTTTCTGGCGAGCGCATGCGCCCTATAGCAAAAAAAAAAAAAAAAAAACCTCTCCATAAAAAAAAAGAAAAAAAGATAAAAGCTTAAGAAAAAAAAAGAAACCATTACCACAACCTTAAAAAGTCAACCTAATTTCTTCACATCATCAAATATCTCACCAGAGTTCAAATTTCCCCCAATTGCTCATGAATACTTTTTACAGTTAGTTTGGATTTGAATGGTCAATTAATCACCTTTAGTTAATAGATGTATAATTTCTTGAAATCTAAAGATTCCTCATCTTTTCTTTTCTTGTAATTTTTCTTGTTGAAGAAGAAACAGAGTTATCTATTCTGTGGTTTCCCAGTGTGGATAGTAGTAATTGCATCCCCATTGTGTCATTTCATATGTTCCTCCTATTTTCAGTCAACTAGTGGTTGGAGCTAAGGACCTGGGTTTGATTTTTTGGCAGAAATAATGCGTGGTTAGGGTTTACCCATCAAGGAGGGTCGGTCTCTGTGAATTGAATAGTAGGTTCAGGCACTGCAAATCTGATACAACTGTTATAAAGCTCCCCCAAGGAAAGCGCTCAAACTAGTAAATTCTAAGACGGGCTGGACCATGGATCAGCGGTAAAATGCAATGTTCTGTAAGGCTGACCCATGTGGGAAGATTCCAGATTCACAACCAGAGACCTCCCTAGTGTGCCAGGCACTTGATCTGGGCCAGCTGAGCTGGGGGTGGATCGAGGCATTATGACCCTCTTGGGGATGCTGATTCTTTCTCAGAATAAACAAAACTTTATAAATATATATTTTTAGACAAACACATAGCATGAGTAGTGGGCAGAGGCCAGGCCTGCAGGATTGGTCTAACTGAACTTAGGGGGAGACGCAGGGGAGTGGGCAGATGGACATCTTGGGAAGATGGGTCTGTGGGTTGAAGGACACGACAGAAACAGCTGACTGAGGCAGGGTTCCATGCGCATAGCCTTCTAGAGGGAGTGGGGCTCCAGGAGACAGAAGGACAGAGAGCATCTCTGGATTAGGGGAGTAGGGAGAGAGGCTGACAGTAGGGGCACAGGGAATTGTGGGAGGTAATGGAGCCCTTCTGGGTCTCAGCTGCGGTGGTGGGTGCACAACCATATGGGTTTGTCAGGGTTCACCATCTCCCAGCTGGGCCAGAACATACTGAGAATGAGGGTGGTGTAGGACTCATCTCCAGCTCCAGGCCCTGTTAGTTACCTCTATCAACCTAGGCTCTGTCAGGTAGTATCATTCATTTAACTAGCAATCACTGAGTGCCCAGGGTGTGCCATGCTCCATGCTGGGCACTGGAAACTGACATGATTAAGACCAGGCTGGCCAGGACACCAAAGTCTCCCCTTGCACCCACCTGTCCTGGTTCCTTCTCAACACCAGCCAGCCAGGTCTTGCCAGACAGAACTCAAAGGCGTATCAAAAAATACTCTTTATTGTCACTGGTATAAAACAGAGCAGATCAACTGGCCTCTCAGTCTGTACAAAATGTGGGGCATAAAACCGCCTGGGTTGCACCCATTTTTCTCATAATGCCCTGCCCCAGAGTAGCGCCCAGGGGCTCCATGGAGGGGAAAGGGCCACCAGCTGCAGCCCCAGAGGAAAGAGGTCAAGGGTGGACTGGGTGGGGTGTAGTTTCGTGCCTAAGGAAGAAGGGAGCTGAGAAGACTAGAATGGGAGGCCCTCGAGTCATTCACCATCCTGTCCCCACTCCTGTGTCCCCCCAGGTCCACTGGCTGAGCAGAGGGGACGGCAGGCAGCCTGAGGTGAGCCGGGCAGCTCCTGTGTGGTCAGAGGGCCACACGGGTACAGCAATGGCGCAGCAGGCACGGCAGGATGCCACGGTTCAGCTGGTGGAACTCCACAAGCTGCAGCAGGTCGGTGAACCGGGTCTGGCCCTCGTCCATGCTGAAGTAGAGGCGACCCTCCTCTTCGTTCTGGGGTGTGGCCACAAGGGTTGGGAGGTCAGGGAGGGGCGCCTGAATAAAAGGCTCCCTCAGGTCCCCATTCCTTGTGCAGGAGCAAAGGAGACACACTGGGGGCCAGGAGCTCCCCCAGGGCACTGATGCGGCCGAGTTGCTGGGAGCACTATCTCTGCTGCAGAGATCCGAGACCCCTGCGGGAGAGGGGGTCACTCACCGGCAGGATGAGGTAATGCTTGACTTTCTGCAGGTGGCACAAGGAGAGGACGAAGCCCTGTGGGTTCCGCTGACTCTCCCGGACCAGGAAGAGGCTGCCAGGAGGTAGGATGTTACCCAAGGACACGGGCCTGCTGCCCTCCCCTGCCTGCCCACCCCGGCCCCTTACCCATCCACCAGGCCCTGCTGTCCGATGAGCCGCTGGCTCTCCTCGCGGGAAATGCGTCCATGGAACCAGGGTTGGGTGCGGTGGATGGCTAGGGTGGGGTAGAAGTGGATGGATGGTCACTCCAGGCAAGGACCCCAATCTACCCCCACCTTGGCTGGGAATGTTCAGAGAAGCCACGGCAGCCCCCACCCTGGGACTCTGGGTCGTCACCCACCTGCACTGAGGCTCGCGCCTGAGCTGGGGGTGGGCAGGCTGAGGCGGTGGTTGGTCTTCTTCTGCAGAGTGGTGGGGGACATGTCAGGGCGAGGTTGGCACCTCAAGAATCTGGAATCCTATTTCCTGGGAAGGGAGGAGCTCCCCTTGCCCCTTCTTCCTCCTTCCCACTCCACAGAAACCCACATGGAGGAAAGAGCCCAGCACAAACATGCAGATGGGTGCAGGCGCCTCACCCTCCAGGCCTGGGCCTCCTCCAGGGCTGCACTCAGAGCTTCCCGGGGGTTCTCAATGACACGCCCAGCATGGCCAGAGAAGTCCATGGCCACCAGGGTATTATCTGAGACGCTCCTCTGGAGACAGAGGACAGGATGGAAGCAAGGGGTCAGCACAGGCCCCGGGGTGCACCCCACCTCGTGCCCCTGCACACACTCACCAAGGGCGGAGAGCCCAAACAGGACGGGCGCAGATGGCGAGACTGTGCCTGCTGGTAGTTCTTATATAGCTGCACCCCATACTGCGGAAGAGGGCCTGAGCTCAAGTGGTCCACACCACCCCCAGACCAGGACCCCCCAAGGGCGGGGCGGGGTGGGGTTTCCGCCTTTGGATGGAAGCATCCAGAAGCTGGAGCTTCAATTCCAGCGATTCCAGCCTCGGACCAGGGATTCTCAGAGAGCAAGGCCATGAGGGCCTTCTCGATCTGGAGACTTCCAGAAGGCAGAATTGTGACCCCTCCTGCATGCATGGGCTCCTTGGGCAGGGTCAGCCCCCCACACCACGCCCAGGGGCTCACCTTGAAGAGGCGGAAGGCAGCCAGCCAGCAGGTACGGCTCTGCTCATCCTCGCTGCAGAAGATGCGCAGCCCCTTGTGACCGTTCCGAAGCTTGTTGGGCTGGGGAGAGAAATTGGCAGGTCCCATTTCTGCCATTAGGGCCAGACGTCTGGTCTCGGGGCAGGGCAGGACCCAGGGCAGCTTCCAGCAGTGCGGGGCAGGGAGACGAGTATGGGTGTGGGAGTCTGGGGCCTGAGCAGCTCCCGTTCCCTCCCAGGCCAGGTCCCCTCACAGGCTTCACCTTGACACAGAAGCCGAAGTCCGTGGGCATGCCATAGAGCTTGCGGCCCTGCGTCACCACGTACACGTTGGACTCGTTCACGTCGGCCACGTACTGTAGGTGCCTCGGATCCTGAGAGCACGAGGTAGCAGGACTTGGCGCAGGCCGACCGTCTCTATTATTGCCGCCCCCATCCCATCAGGCGGGGAGATCTCAGGCCGGGGGCACAGGGGGGCACAGGGACGTATGTAAGGTCACAGGGCAAACAGAAGTGGAGCCTGATTTGAGCTCAGCTCACCTGCCTTTTCTACTGCTCCCTCTTAGGATAGGTAAGCTGGACGGGGGTGGGGGGCCAGGGCCCAGGGGGAGAAGGGTCCAGGAGTTCCAGCAGGGAAGGGACAACTTCTAGAAGGACCAGGGATGGAGCTCCCGAGGCGCTGGGGCTGGCACCTTCAAGGCCTCACCTTGGAGGTGCCCTTCGTGGAGTAATAGAGGCCAGACCGGCGCAGGAAGCAGAAGAAGCGTTTCCAAAGCTTGCGTCCAGACCCCCGCAGCTGCAGGAAGCCCTGGATCTCTGGGAAGCTGCCGGCGTTCAGGAAGTTCTGAGGGGGGAGCAGAGGGTGAGGGCCTGAGCTCTCCATGCCTGTATTGTCCTGGTGTCACAGATGCAGAAGCTGACGCTCGGGCAGGGAAAACGACTTGTCCCAGTCACAGGTGACTTGTCACTCGTCCCGGTCCCAGGACGGTGGCTGGGCTCCTTCTACCGCAGAGAGGAGGCATGAAGTTTAAGGGCAGAGAAGCACCAGGCAGTTCTGGGCAGACATGAACCTGTGGTAAAATAAAATGGGGGGGGTCCCCTCACCTGGATGAGGTCTTCATGGGATATGCCCGTGTGTGCATCCAGACAGCTGGAGACCATCTTTTCTGGGAACAGGGAGTGCTAGAGGGAAGACAGGGGTTGGGGTCAAGGCTCAATGGCCCAGGTTAGGTATCAGGGTACCCCAGTGTCCAGAATCCCCAACACACACTTACTGGGGAGCTCTTGAATAGTTCATACTTGGCGAAATTTTTCCGGAAGACGAAGCGGCTGTCTCCACCAACAGGCCAAGCGGCCTGCACTTCCACTACAGACTCATGGTCCTCCAAACCCCGCTCTGGGGTCCAGGGCAAAAAGCGGGGGTTAGTGAGGACACATCAGGCCTCCTGATGAGCTGTGTGCTGAGCAAAGATATGAGGCATTTCCTCCTGGCTCAGGCAGCTCCCTGCACCCCGACTCACCCAGTGCAAGGTGGGGGTGGCACTCCACCAGTCCCCAGTTCTCGTCGCTCAGGGCATGAGCTCGCTGCACCAGCATCTCACACACGTGGCGAGCCGTGGCGCCCGCTGCCACCTCCACGGACCGGCAGGCCCCGTCCTCACTGTACACCTTTACCACCTGCACCCCAGGAAGCACAGATGACTTGAAGGAGGGCAAAGGTGGTTCTTCCCCTCCCCCCACCTGCTGTACCCTCAGGGAGAAACCACGATCCCACCCCCAAAGGGACACTATATCCACCCCAGGCCCAGAGCAGAACCTGTATCCCCCCCTTTCCCTTTCTAAAGAAACTCACATGGGGGCGGCTGGCATCTCGAGGGAGCAGTCCCCTTGCACTGGAGGGCCCCCCGAGAATGGGGGTCTGTGAAGGAGGACTGCAGAGCTCAGGGAAGGGGTTGGGGATGGAGGGTAGAGAAGATGCCCGCAGCTCCTCTTCCCGAAGTTTCCTGTGGCAAGAGAGGAACTGATGGCAGCCTCCATGCCTTACCTAGTGCCGCCTCTGCCCCAGCCCCACCCCAGCCCCTCATCCCACCATACCTGCAGTTCGGAATGGGCAGAGGCTGGGACCTCTTCACCTCCCCAGGCAGAGGGGTCTCAGGGGGCGGGGGAGTTCCCGGAGGGGTCCCAGAGGCTGGGCACAGGTCTTCCGGGGAGCTGCTGAGTTGAGGTGGAGACAGATCCAGCTCCATGACATCTGAGAGAGAAGGGGGGCTGAATGTGTGCTGGAGCACCTTAGTCCTGGCAGAGGGGCCAAGAGAACCCAGATCCCAGAGCTGGCAGCTGCCAGGGTGCCCCTCAGAGTTTACATGGCACCTCGCTGCTCCCCTCTAACTGGAGTTTCCTTTGAGGAAGGGTAGAATGAGCCCCCATTTGACAAAAGGGGGCACTGAGTGCCTGAGAAGGTGGCAGGTGAGTCGGGAGTGGAGCCTGGTATTGGACTGCACAGAGGAGCTGAGCGGGCTCCCCGCAAGCCCAGCAGCATCAGCTGACTCCAAGACCCACACACTGCCTGGGGTCAGCTCTCCGCGTCAGCGTCAGGGTGAAGGCCACCCCTCCGCCTCCACGCACAGAGCACTCACTCCACCGAGCTCTGCTCCGGGTTTTGCCAGCGCTTCGTGGCCAGAGCCTGTTGTGGCAACGCCTGCCCAAGTGATGAGTGAGTGATACCGAGGGGAGGAGGGGAGGACAGAACCTGGAGGGTGAGCTCAGCTGCAGTGAGGAGGGCTAACCCGGGGGTTCCTTGCCCCAGCAGCCCCCAATTTTGTGTGCCTTCCTCAGGCCTCTCTTTCTATCCAGCCCGTTCCCAAAGCTGCAGTGCAAGAGCCACTTCCTCTGAGAGGTCTTCCTGGATTTTCCCCATTCAGACTAAGGTTTCTTCTCAATACTGTGCATGCACCCATTGCTGTGCCCTGTCTTATCCACCCACTGGTATAAGGGCACCTGGCACTCTCAGACAGGGATAGAGTCCTGCCCTTGTCTTCCCACCCATAGGTGCTTGCAGGTACACCCAATAAGGAGAAGGCCACACTGGCTCCGCCATAGGAACCAGACAGACCCCTTTCAAGGACCAAGGAAATCTTGCCAATCCCAACCCCCTGCCTGCTCTCCAGTCTCAGGGAGGTACTGTAAGACCACCCAGGGCACCTGGGACTGACAATCCCCCTTCCCAGGATGGGTAGGCACCTGACCCTTCATGAGGGCATGAGGGATTTGGGGGATAGGTGAGTCAGGGCGGGGCAGGGTGGTAGTGCCTGGGGCTCTCCATTCAACCTTGACTCACCTGCTCAACTTCCTGACTTAGGAGAAACACAAACAACCCTGCTTCTACCCTCCACCCCACCCCCCCATACTCCCAACCTACAGGCTGCCTGGGAGGAATGGGGGAGGCACAGGGCAGGGAACAGGATGGGGGAGAAGGAGGATGTAGAGCCTAAGGCCCTACTGACATCATCTCCTCCTCCCCACTCCAGGCCTCCCTCCATCTGGGTGGGATCTGCAATCTGTCCACCCCCAGTCCCAAGCCAGTACCAGGGCAGGAGCCCCTCACCTAGGAAGGACTGAGGAAATGCCTGGTCTGGATTCAGAGGCTCATCTGGAGTGGAGCTGATCTCCCAGCGGGCCCCCTCCTCACTCAAAGCAGCTCCAGGGCTCCCTAGCCTGAGCAAGGCCCCAGCCTCCCTCTGCTGCTGGGCCCCCTAGTGCTCAGGCTGCACCTGGCCCAGGGGATGAGGGATGAGGTGCCTCACGACTTTCCTGGGTGTCCTGGCCAGATAGTACTACAAAAGCTGGAGTGGAAAGTCAAAATACCTAAGGGGCCAGACAGGTGGGCAGAGCAAACAGCCCAAGGTGGCGGCTTGAGGTAGTGCAGAAGGGCAAGGCATCTTCCCCCACCATCCAGCCCCAACACACACAGCAGCACCTCAACACCGACACACATGAGCCCTGGGGCTGCAGGGGCCGTCCTGCCGCCCTCAACAGTGAAGTGGGAGGAGGAATAGAGAACCCTGAGGGCCGATTCTGAATGTGGGGCAGGGGGCCGGAGTTGACAGAGGGAGTCTGTGCCCCCCTCAATGGCAGTCCCAGCCTATAATGTTCTGAATTGCTGTTCTGGAAGCCAAATGGTCAGCCGTGGGTGCAGATCCCCAGCTGCGAACCTTAAGCATGCAAGTGCCCCCCATAAGCTGGAGGGCTGGGAAGGAGATGTTGGCCTGACCAGACTTGAAGCGCGCTGCTCTCCTCTGGCTCATGTGCACGTGCTACCACGGATATATAAATACAGTTTTCTTAAAAAATTAGAATCTAGGGTCAAAAGTCAGGGGGGCTGGGGTTCAAGGCCCTCCACCCAGCCCTGGACCCTGCTAAGGCTACAGAGGGGGTCCCATCTGTGAGCCTGGGCACCTCCCGAGAGAGCTGAAACTTTTAAACTGGGGCTCCTGAAAAGCTTCTGTGGGAGAAACCAACTTCCCAAACCTATTTGTGCCCTCCCCTCCCAGCCACAGCTTCCCCAACTGCCTCTCCTGCCCCAGCGGCTCCCGCCCCACCCTCGATCCCGCCCTCCCTACCTCCTTGTTTACTTCCTGAATCTGGCCCCACCTGGCTGGCCCCAAGGGCGGGTGGCAGGACCCATTGTTTGGGGCCGACCGAAAACAAGGCCACCTTCGTGGCGTCCCAGGGTGGGAGGAGATGCTGGCGGGGCAGAGGCCTGGGCTGGGCGCCGGGACGTGGCGGGAGGACTCCGCTTGCCCAGTATTCCGTACCCCGCCCCCATCAGGATCCACTGCGAGGGGAGAGGCTTCACCACTGAGAGAGCCCCTAGGGCCCAGGGCCCAGGTGAGGAGGTGGGAAACCCCTGGGTGACCCGGAGTTGAGGGAGGGCCTAGGACCCTGAGGCCCCGCCCATTCCCTCACTCAAGAAAAAAACACCCAATGGGAGAAGGCGGGGAGCAACTCTTTTAAAGTTTAATTGGGGAAGAATGCTGGAGTGTTTGTGGGGTTAATCATTACGGGCTGCTACGCTCGTGGAAGCCCCCCACCCCCACATACGACAGTCTTTGGGGGAAGAGCAGAGTCCAGGACAGGCAGACCAGGAGAAGCATCCCTGGGGGACACTGCGGGAGGACTCCCACCTGGAAGACAGGTGTATTCTGCCCCAACCCGCCGCACTCGGTCCTGGGTCTTTCTCCAGCCTCAGACGAGACCCTCAGCCTCTGTCCCCCCAGCACTGTCTCCCAGGCCCCACTGCACCCCAGACCCCCGCCCCAGCATCCAGCCCTCTAGCCTTCCTAGCTCCCTTCATTCTGAAACCGGGAGGGACCCCCTCGGCCCGCCCCGTGCCGCCCTCCCCTCGCAGGGCAGGACGCCGCGTCTCTGAGCAGGAACAGGCTGCGGGGACCGGGCTTCAGCGCTGTAGGGAATCCCTCCCCTTCACGGGCCGGCGCCCCCGCCCTGCTCCGTCTTAGCAGAGACGAGGAAACGCCAACGGGGAAAAGCGGACCCCCTTCCGAGCTCTTTCTGGGGGTGCGGGGAGGGGCCAGTTTCAGCGGGAAGAGCCGCGTCTCCCGGACAGAGACTCAGATCTGACTTCGCATCAACTGGCTGGTGTCGGGAGGCGATGGGGACGCCGGGGGGCTGAGGGCAGGAAATGAGGATCGGAGGGGACCGAGGGCGAAAGGTGAGGAGGGGTGGGGTGGGGGATCGGAGGAAAACAAAGCGAGCGGCCGCCAGAACTACACGGCAGGAGACCGACTCTCCAGATGGACCCCAGGCCCGCCCGGGCATCCCACCCCCGAGGCGAAGTGCCCGCTCTGGGCCTTACCTGGACCCAGGGCGTCGGTACACCTGACTTGGGCCACCGGTTTAGAGAGGGAGACGCCAGGCCCTTAACTACCTGTCCC